AAAAACTGTCATCAAAAACAAAACAAAGATTGGTCTCTCCCTGGTGGGGCAACAGGTTAAAGCACACCACCTTTATGAAGCTATCCGCAGCCACTACTGCATGAATTTGATCCCCAACCAGGGAGCCTATCCACGTGGCATGGCAGACCTCCCCAGGCCCACCCTCTGTTCTCCTCAGCAGTGTATCTCAGTTAATCTGCCTGTTCTGCTCCCCACTCCATCTGTGGTAAATCTTCTCATCCCCCACATTGCTGGCCAGTACCACAGTTCTTGTATGCATAAATAGATAAATCTTTGAAAAAGATTTTAAATGTAAAAAAAAAAAAAACCCTGCAGACCAACCCCCCAACACTGCTCCAACATAATTTATACATCCCAAATATGGATGTGACTAATATGCCATTGCAAAACAGTTACATCTCCAGCAACAGAATACAATCCAAGATGACTTAACTTGCATAGGGCAAAGAACAGTCCATGATTTTATAAAGCTAAATAAACTCTCGAGCTTACAGACACTGATGAAATATCCTTACTTGGTTTCAGTTCAAGACAGTCAACAGAGAAGGTCTACTAAATTTAGACTCTGAGTTGATTTCATCACTCACCTGTCCTGAGGGAGGTCTCTGTGGACAGAAGAAAGTAGGCCCAGGGACACCACACTGGGCTGGGACCAACCTATTTTACAGGCACAGACTGCAGCCAAAAATGGTCACAGAGACGGCTCTGCTAGGTTGAGCACACCTGTGGGTATTACAGGTCCTGGCACGTGGAAGTTATGCCTTTGTGGATCCTGAAGGCATACCGTCCAGTCCAGATCCTTCCCAATAGCCCTCCAGGGGCCAGGATTATCATATTACTATAGTAATACCAGCCGAATTTATATGCTTTCTCAGAAGAAAATATCAGAAACTTAATCCAAGACAAAGCTCAAAAGAATTTGAAGTATAAATTGAAAATGAATGAAATCCTAATCATTTTAATTTTTTTTTCAGCTAGTCAAAAGAAATATTTTCCGTATTAAAAAATGGGTTCCTCTGGTTACATTAAAATGCTAGAATGCTAAGCAAAGTACCTGAGCTGCCCACCAGCATGGTGACAGCAAGGGCAGTGAGCACCTTCCATGGGCTGCATCTTAGCACCTGTGAAAGCTGACTGTCTGCTTGTACTGTGGAATAAAGCCTGTACAGGGAGAGAAAGACTTCTGATGTCAGAGGATCACTAGTCAGGAGCGTGCTGGTCACATAGGGTGGTGACCAAGCACAAGACCCAGTGGCTTTGCAGGCAGATCACAGGTAGGGGAAAGGACTGAGAGAAATGAATGGCAGAGATGTTATGTTAGGGCAGATGATTGGGTGAAGAAGAAAAGAAAAAACATATTTCTTCCATTCCCATTAAACTCTCCTCAACATGTTTTTCCTCTCTTCCTTTTCATTTTGTCCACTATCTTTTCCATCACCTCCAATACAGTAGCTCTAGTTGCTAAGGCTATTTTTAGGAATTTTTAGCACCATGCTGCCCATTCTCCCTCTGGAGTATCTTATAAAATACCTAGTAAGCTGGTTTGAGCTGGTACTAAAGTAAAACAAAACATCTCATCCCAAAAAAACCATATAAATTTTATAATACAATTGTACTACAGTATAAAATGTTTCCAAGCTGAAACAATTTGCTGTTTCATGTGGCTCAACTCCCAATCCCACTATAAGAAATTCACAAATATTATTCATTTTCAAAACAGATTTAGGTGAACAGTATACTGTTGTGTTAATAATGGAAGTGAAATATCCGTATCATTGAAAAACTGCTCTGCGTTTATACAGCACAATTTTACCTGAGACTCTTATTTAGGAGAAATGGATACAAGCCAAATATGAATATGCTTATACAACCTGGAATTATAGTTCAAAGAAAATGTTCATAAGGTTATATCCTTAGGATAAAATAACAGGAGACATGAGTGAATTATTTTCATTATTTTCTATTTTACTGTCATGTATTTCCAAATATAATACCTTCTCACACCACCTCTTTTTTGAAAGATCTTTTAGAAAATGTTTATATGGAAACAAAGAAGATGTCACATAAAGGCAGACAATTTTGAAGAAAAAGAAACAAATATCTGAAGCAGCATTTCAGATCTTTATGAGTTAAAGCAAAGCTGACATTAGTTTTAATATTAGCTGGAGATCTCGCTCTCAACTGGGAATAAAAAAAAAGAACTAGATATAGTACTAGTACAAATAGGGACAAAATATCCTATAGGGAAAAAACGGAGGGAGGGTAAGAATGGGTTGCCAGGATTGGTGCCTAAGTGTCCAGAGAAGATTAATTGCTTCTATTGAATAAGAAAAAAAAAATCAGTTTAAATATGTGAAGGTACGTTGTGTATTTTTCCATAACATATTACTGAAGTAAAACCACACACAGTAAAGGAATTAAAAACTGAAGAAAAAGTTATGTGGGAAATTTGTCTATTTATAGGTGTGATGAGGATAAATTGCTTAGGAGAGCAATATTTGATTTGTTCTTATCCTAATAGCACTGTCCTAGCTACCTTATAAAACAATGAAAGGTATAAATAAATAAATAGAAATATAGCATTCTCCTCTAAATGCCACTGCTGAAGACAAAAGTCACAACTAAATTATGAATAAGGACACTGTGCCAGATAGATTTTGGGTTATTCCACTTCACTCTTAGTGGTTTGGATTTCTCAAAAATGCACTGCAAGCTACTGGCAGTGGCACAAAAACATTTGGGGTGCTTGTTACAATGCAGGTTTTAGGTTTCACCCCCAGAGACTGATTTAGAAGGTCAAGGATCCTAAGACAGCATCTTTAAGCAGCTCTCTAGGAGATAATGTATATACTTTGAGTAAACTACAGCCTAAAGTAAAAGATCTCTTTCCTGTGGAAATTAACAATTATTTTTAGCAAAACAAAAAACCATTTTTCGTAGTAGAAACTTTTAAAGCTACTTTGACTAAGCTATCAATCTTGTTACCTTAAGGTTGTCAGCGAGTTATCCTAATGGAAATAATTGGATTAATAGTGATCAAAATTCTGTTCATCAATTAAAAGAAATAAAGCTATAAATGGTTGTAAAATCCACACCAATGCTGTTTTAGAACTAAATGTAGAAGAATACTTCACTCAAGCAGCTTAAATTTTTGTTGAATTTGTCGTAAGAAATTTAGAAGATCTTCAAGTAAACTGTGTATTACACAAATGTATTACTGTATTCCAACAATTCCAATTTGTTCTCACTTCATTTGCCAGCAAAAATTCTCCAAGTGTACTGCATAGGCAGTTCCTTACAGAATCCTTTAACATTTAAGGCCTATGACTAGGAAGTTTTTTTCTGACTCTCTTATCAGCCCCTTCCTTCCTGTGCCTCTTTTTCTTGGTAACTACCCCACTCTCCTTACCCACATAGACATACACTCACTTCATTGGTGAGAGATACATTCATTACAGTACAAAATGATATTTGCTATTAACAAAAGGGTAGCAAAAAAGATAAAATCTTTGTGTTTTTGGAGTAGCCAATTTAAAATAAAACATCAGAACTCCAAAATGTACTGCAAGATCATGATTGTGTGCAGAGTAAAATGCAAAAGGGGTTTTTTCTGACAGTAACTGTGTGTGACAGCCATCTCAACAGGCCAACTATATATATCTGTGCATCAACAAAATCTGAATCAGTTTTTCTCTAGCTTGCATTGAGGGACAGAGAACTCATGAGTGAGCACCTGTTGACTTCCGAAATCACAGGACTTCATGACTGAGGCCTGGGCACTGACAGGATGGGAGAGGTGATACCTAGCCCTTGGCCAACCCTACTGTGTTCATGAGAACCATGAGCATATTCAAAGGTCAGTAGGATTCACGTTTGGTTTCCAGTCTACTCAGACAACATGCAGACCTGGTGAGAGGAGAGTACATCAGTAGAGGAGAGTACACCTGTAGGTGAGTGTGGGCTCTGGTACGTTGAGTGTGACTGCTGGGGGCTTCCCAAGCTTTGACGAACTGCCACATGAAGTCTTTTTACACACCAGGAAAGAGAGCAGAACACCCAACAGCTAAGCAGACCCTTTGTATACACTGAATCTCATGGAATGTCACAGGAATACAGTTAGAGAGTATTTTCTAGTTTCTAATGCCATTTTCATGTCAGACCCAAAGGCAGAGAAGATATCTCAATTAATTCACATGAAGAAAGTAATTTTGTTCCCCAAAGAAGACTTTTCTTTGATAAATACTTTAACCTAAGAATGAATTAATTTACTAGTGGTGTGTTTTTATAACATACCCCAATTTCATCACTGAAGTTGAGTCTTTTTATTTTTTGCACAAGTTTAAATCAATATGTATTCCCTGTGGACCTGTTTTATGCCAGGCATGGTGCCACTTCAGGTATTTTGACAAGAAATAAAGACAAAATATAGTCCTGTCCTCAAGGATTCTTGATGCCTTCAGAGGTGGGAGGTAAGGCTTCTAAAGCATGACAAGCATTATTTTTTGAAGGCTGAGCAGCATTTTAGAAACAGTGAGGAGCCTGGGAGGCTAGGGAGCCCTTCACGGAAGGGATCACTTAGTCCATTTCACAATGCGAAGTGGATTTCACCACAAATGAAAGAAATAGAAAGAGCTTCTCAGCAAAGGGAGCATGAAAAAGAAATAAGGATATTTTGAGGGGTTGAGGCATAAGAGGAGAGATGTGGAGAGTGAAATCAAGTTGACGCTGGAAGGCCAGGTGGAAGGTGTTGCAGTTCCAGTGGGACCATTCAAGAATATACTGGGATGGCTCTACACTTAGATGCTTACCCACATCCACCTCCCACCACCATATGTCAGTTATACCAGTTTCCCCCTATAATTATGTATCAGTATTGATAAATATTTTTCCTATTCAACATATTATCTGTGTTTCATAAAATCACATTCCACAAATAGACAGTAAACGCTTAGGGAAATACTTAAAAGAGAAGCTCTTACCTGAACATAGCTGTTCCACTTTTGTATAGTTTAAAGATACTATGTCATTCACCCATGCAATGATGTCATGTCTGCTCATAGTCTCTTGGGTTATCGAGGTAGAATACACATTGACCGCCATTCCCCAACTAGAAAAAAAGAAGCAAGCAAGTTTATTGACCTATAAGAAAAAATTAACTTGGAGACAAACAAGAAAAAAAAGATACATATTCAAGGTCGGAATCCCTGGCAGAATCCTAAGGGACTTAAGTCCTGCTGTGGCTAATCCTTTTAGCTTGTTTTTCTATTTTTATGTTACATACTAGCCATAATAAAATTTCATATATTCACACAGTACCATTTTACAGCTCCCTCAACTGGACGCAAATCTTCAGTTTCTGCGATTTCTAGTTTATCATCTCACTTTTTAATTTTAAGGTCTCACTTTTATCCCTAAGTTTATGTGCGGTAACATTGAAACCTAATAAAAAGTTATCAGGCCTGTAACAGTGTGCACTTGAATCATCTTGTAGCTTTTCAATAATTTCATAGCACTTTCATTACAAGGACTCGAGAGCCAAACCTCTTTCAGTCGGCTGACCATGGAGAGGTAAATGGCAGCTACACCATCTCCAGCTGCTCAGGCTAAAACCAGTTTTTACCCCTCACTACTATCCAGCTCATCGGCAAATCCTACCGGCGCCACCTTCAAAGTAGGTTTAGAAGCTGCTACCCTGACCCAAACCTCCTCCTCCACCTCTTACCTGGCATTGCTCTCCCAGCTGGCACCCTCACCACTGCCATTATTTTCAACAGGCAACTAGAACTTTTTTTTTTTTGCACAGTTGAAAATCGTCTAGTGGCTGCTGATCTCACTTAGTAAAATCTGAAGCACTCACTGTGCTTTATAAGGTCTTCCGTGGACATTGTCCTTGACACTGCTATCGCCCTCCTCCTCACGCCACTACATCACAACTAGCCTGCTGTTTGTTCCTTGAACTCTCAAGCTCAAGGCCTAGCATCGCAGTTGCTTCGGTCATGAAGGTTTCCCAGGCAGTTTCCAGGCTCATTGTCCTCACATCCTCCAGGCTTCACTCAATCCCACCTCACCAAGGTCTCTTCATCATCATCTCCTTGTTTATTCTCTCTTCATAGACATAAGACATAAGCTCCATGAAAACAGGGATTGTGTCCATTTTATTTTCTGTACATCCTCTTCGATCTAATGTTTAATGCCAGACTGTGTTTGTGAGGTTTTTTTTTTTTTTTTCCATATAAAGTAAGCAGGACATCAGGTAGGCTAGAAACATTTTTCATTAGCTTTTATTAATGTGCTCCTTCTGACCATTCTGTGACATCTATTATTTCCCCAACTCTTCATAGGAGCGGCCCTCGTAACTGAGATTTTGTGTTGTTTTGATATCTGTGACTCCAGTGTAATTGGTTTCCTTTTCAAAAAATTAATGCATTTGTTAAGAGTAGTTTTAGACTGCCAGTAAAATTCAGTGGAAGTAGTTTTCCCACATTCCTACACAAATGTAATCTCCCGCACTGTCAGCATCCTGTACTAGCTGGTATATCTGTTATAAACGATTAGCTACCAACATAAATGCATTAGCACCTAAGTTCATAGTTTACATAGGGTTTACTCTTGCAATGTGCATTCCATGAGTTGTGACAAATTTATAATAATATGTATTCACTATTGTCATATCCTACCAACAGTTTCAGAGAAAAATTCTCTTTGCACTGATTCATTCCCCCTTCTACCCAGCCCCCCAAACCATTCATCTTTGTACTGTCTCCATCGTTTTACTTTTTCCAAAATGTCACAGTTGGAATTATACAGGTAAGTAGCCTTTCCAGATTGGTTCTTTCACTCAGCAATAAGGCTCTCCATGACCTTTCATGGTTTGATAGGCCATTTCTTTCCAGTACTAAATAACAGTCCGCCGTCTGATGGTACCACTCATTGAAGGACATGCTGACTGCTTCCAAATTTAGGCAATTATTTATAAAGCTGTTTCAAACATTCAAGTGCAGGTTTCTGTGTGGACCTGAGTTTACTTTTGACTCCAACAATTATCAATATTTTGGCCAATCCCGTTGTACTTGAACTCCCATCAACCTTCCCTTCCTGAAGCATACCCTCTGTTCCCCAAGTGAGATTATTTCAAAGTAAATGCCAAGTATCTCCTCTCATCAAAAGCTACTTCAGTATGTATCTCCAAAAGATAAAATTCTTAATATTAGAAGAAAAAATTCTTAATATTGAATATATCCCATAAAGTTTTTGTGAATTTTGTTTCAGTTTGTTTACACTGTCATTCTTTGATATATACTTTAGATTTTTTCCCTCCTTTTCTATAATTTCCCTGGCAGCTAAAAAAATTATTGTTGAAGAAACTGGACTGTTTGTCCTGCAGAGTTTCTACAACCTGGATTGTACACAGCATTCCATTGGTGTCCTTTAATATATTACTCTGTTCCTTTTATTCATAAACTGATCTTCTAATCTAGAGGCTTAATATGATCCAAAATTAAAAAATCAAAAACAAAAACCTCCTGAGAACAAAGAAACAAATCTTTCCCTGCAGGTTCTGTCAATGAGTCACACTTTCCTCTAGGTCTTTTTATCTATAACATTCACTTAAAGACAATACTCCTTCCATATGTAGAGAGACATTCAGCTAAGAAAGGTGAATAAAGACACTAGCTGCTTTCAAGGAGCTCATTAGAGGACAACGAAACAATGAAATGCCATCTTTAGGAAAACTCCAGTTAATGAATTACTACATTCTAACCTCTACCCCACTCCCTTTTTAGCCAACACTGCCGCAATCTCCAGAGACCCTGGGGTAAGAGCACACAGGTATTCAGGGACTGGTGGGAGAAGTAGGATAGAGGGCAGACCAGGAATAAGAGTAAGTGAAGGGTAGGGCTACAGTTCTACGATTTCTAAAATAAAACCATAGTACCTCAAGTAATAAGTAGATTCCCATAACTACTTCAAATTAGTAGCGATGGAATTGATGTACTCAATTTCTATTTATCAATACTATTCATGCTGATTAGAATATTCATATAATCTAATTTCTCCAAGTTTCTATTTCCTTTGTGCTTCTCTTTTGCTCCCTTTGTTAGTTTCCCATCCAAATACTCAACCTCTTTTGATTTAGGCAGGAGAACTCTGGGGCTAGAAGCATCTCAAGACCCCTAATAAAACAGGTGGCAGCTGAAGTGGTCTGCCAGCTACTGTTTTCAAGCTCTCCTTTTTCTCAATTCCTTCAGCTCCCACTTTTTCTTCAGGTGCAACTTCAATATATGCAAACATAAATTATCCAGTGACTATATAATTCACAGAAAAAGATTTCTATTTTTCCAAATGTTAAATTCAGAACTGGTGAGAATATTTACTTGTCTTAGCTATTCTGCGACTACTACTCTAAAACTCTTTAAGATTTCCTTAAACTGCTATTCTAATATCCTAAGATTTAATTGAAATTTCTCTGGTCTCAATCTTTAAACATTTCTCTCTGTACCATCCTTGCAAAAAAGAAAGTCAACATACCCTCTTCCAATTTGAGGCTTTTATATATAGTGCCATAAATACCAATACCTGCCCCTCCCTACTCTGCAGAAATATTGAGTGGACAAAACACAATTTTTTTCTATCATTTTAGAGTTAAAATATTATGAAGCCTCTTCTTTCATCCTTGTAAGGTTTCTGCCAGGAAAAAAAAAAAAAGAATCCTGCCAGGAAAGCAGGGCGGGTATTATATTATTCCTTGGCAAATGTGGGTTCCTATTACTTATGAAGGTAGAAATTAACACAATTCAAAATGTTAATTTTTAAATTAACACAACAGAGTAATTTCTAGAGACTCAATTAAGAAAAATAAATGGCTAAGAAAGGTAAAGTAAGACAAAGTGCTACCAAATAAACAGCAAAGAGCCGGCACAGCATTTATTCTGCCTCTATCTCCAGCATGCCTTTTACACAGAAACAGCAGTTTATTCTTAGCTGACCTGCCATCTGATCTCGGGGACATAAACATTTCTCTCTGTACCATCCTTGTAAAAAAAGAAGTCAACACACCCTCCTCCAATTTGAGGTTTTTTTGTAGGAATGTTAACCAAATCACTATGTATTAAAAACCTGGTAAGTATAATACTGAAGGTAGTCGATAAGTGAGGGGAAACTCCCTGTATTATGGCTGCTGGGTCACCATATCTCACTATGGCATTTAACTTTATTTAACCATTAATCTGCACTCAACACCCCTACTTGAAAACAAACTATTAATCATTGTATATTTACACACTGTTTTTGTGAAGACTTGTATGACTGACTGCCTTTTTGGTAGCTGGAAATGAATATATACATTTTTGTAAATAAGAGCAAAAAATACAACAAAAAGACAAAAATTTCTTTATAACTGCAGCAGGCAAAGTCATGATTCAGGCTTGTCTGTGGACAGTGACCACTGACACAGAAACTTTAGAACATTCTCTGACTGAGAGGCAGCGTGGGGATTCTGCCCAGGTTCACCCTACAGTCAGTATTTGGTGGTGGTGTTGAGTGCCAGCAAGTGTCAGCAGCACAGTCTAGTGACTGCTTTCCTGCTTACTGAAACAAAAGGGATTTTATATGACTAAGTGAGACCTCAGTGAGCCTGCTGAGTACGAAAGCCAGGATAAAGACCTTAAGCCCTTAAACAAGGAAACTAAAATATGAGTTCTACTACTTTACTATTCATAAACTGCCTCCCGCCCCCAAACAACTACAAAATATTCTACAATTCTGTCCAACAACAAATTTGGCAAAGTCTGTGAATTATTCCAAAGAATCATTTTTCAAAAACTGACAAACACATAGAATGTTATAGTTGGCATTATGTGTGCCTGTAAGTGAAATTTCTTATGTATGTAATTCATTCGGTCTCTTCACCCCACCCTGACCTTCATGATCAGTTATACTTTGTGTGTGCATATGCTTCCTCATTTCTTCTCTTCATATTATGATCACTACTTTTAAAGGAAAAGGAAATGTCCCCCACACCCAGCAAAGTTGGTCAGGTCAGATGCCCCAGGATCCTAGTTCTGGTGCTGTTTTGGGTGTATGAATATAAGGAGAGGGGTTTGAAAA